CAGGAATGCTCAAGGCAGTAATAGATCTTAACTTCTCTCCTGTCACATGGATCTACTGGGGAAGTGAAAGGAAATAAATAAATTCTATGGTATCTGGGCAAAAAAAAGAACTATAAGCAATTATAATTGAAGCTCTAACCACTATCCTACTGCTAGCAGCTGTCCCATTTCACCTAGCCCATCTCAGGAGATTTATTCAAATAATTAGGAGGTGGATCTTGGAAACAGACAGCCAACAAATGGGTAACTGAAGAGATACTGGTTGAATAGCAACAATGAGACTGCATGTTATAGGCAGGCAAAAAAATCAAGGTCTGACACCTCATCTAGATGGAGCAAACTGTAAGGGAGAAGGGGAAAAAAGACTGAATGAGTAAGAGGAACAAAGGCAAAATTACAAGAGTAGGTGAACAAATACTTGCAAAGAATGTTTTTTTCACCCACGCTGGCAGTACAGGGAGCACAGATTCCTGTGCTGGATGATTTTTCTTTAAACTTACAAACACCAAAACTGCATACTCTCTCCTTTAATACCCCCAAAGGAAGGTTTGTTTCCAAGTATATCATATGAAGAGCAGCAGAAAAGAGAGCAAAATGTGAAGTGAACCAAGTAGGACAAGGAGCCAGAACTGGGAAGAAGTGAACAAAAGAAAAAAAACCAAAAAACTGGAAAATAATCATTGAAAGCCTGTAGACAGGCTAAGAATAGGGCTTCATAGGGTGCAAACAAGAGTTCACTACACCTGGTACAGCTGTAGGTGGCTTACACCTAGACTGGAAGCAGGTGAGTATAAGAATATGCCACTGCCAAGAGCCATTCACTCCTCCCAGGAGCCATGTAGGGAGCCCAGGGTGGTAGGAGGGGCAGGAGGCATCAGAGGGGACTAGGGGGTCTGCAGTGGACTTGGTGAGTTTGGGAGGGGCTGCTGGGTCTGCAAGAGAAGAAAAGGGGAATGAAAGCAGCCCAGTCAGGGTTTGGAGGGCGGAGTAGGTGCGAGGAATAGTACAGCCCCAAGGCTGGTGTGAGCAGCTAGGCTTTCCCAGCCCTGGGGCTGCACTGCAAACACACACAGGTGTTCAGGACATTGTATTAACCCTATCTCCATCTAAATTAGTGCACCTACTCAGATGCCCTAACTTAACCCTAGTTAGGCTGATCTAAATTTAACACCTGTACATACCCATAAAAATCACAGAAATGCAAGAAGGACCTAGAAGTGCCCAAGAAACTGAGGAAGGGAGGCAGGAGAACAACATAAATCCCAGGATGTTACTGTTACGACAAAGAGAGGCACAATAACCAGAAATAGAAAGCGAAGTTGGAGATCATGGACTAGGCTCATGTAGGTATCACATACCAATGCTACACATAGGAAGGCTGCAAACCAAAAGTTAAGGCACAGCAATCAGTGTATATTAATTTAAAAAAAAAAAAAAAAAAAAGTTTTTTGTCTCCAGCAGGTTCAGCAGCACCTCCCATGTAAGTCAACAAAACCAACTGTTCCCCCATATAGATGCTTATAGACTGACCAAGCCCTGAACATTCTTGATGTTAAAAGAAAGTAGACAGAACTGGATGCCACAGGGTACTAAGCCCTCTGATTCTGATCCACCAAAGCAAACAAGGACATGTTATAAAAGCAAGCATATACTCTTTCTTTGTGGTTATAGTCAGCCTTTGTATGAGCTCCAGTGCACACTTAATTGCAGCCAGACCATTCAGGCCTTGAAGTATCCAGTTTGAGCTACTGCCATCCATCTTTCACAATATTAACGTTACAATACACAGAAGAATTCTTGGAATAAAACTAAATATGATGCCTCTCTAAGTTACGGAACCATGAAAAAAACCCACTGAAATTACTTCACTTTTCTTTAAAAACGCTAGTTTTCAGAGTTCTTCTTTCATCTTCAGCAGTGACATTTAACCTTGCAGCCCTTAAAGCACAAGAATTCCTACTGTTTGCAACAGAAGTTATGGAAATGGGAATAATGAAGAAGAAAAATCTGATATGTAGTCTTCCTACTTTTAAGATAGATTAGGGTCTATATAAAAGTCTTACTGCAAAGACACTTGGAATTTTATTTTGCCTAATAGATTTTTTATGAAAATATACATATTCTTAAACTGAATTTGGTAAACCTTGTTTTCCTTACATATTTGAATAATAGACCAGGATAAAATACACACAGTCTAATGTTGGTGCCAGACACCATGTTGGGTCTGATTCTGCATCTAAGCAGATCTCACAACTTTTATGGGTCTACTGTAATAAATAAATACTAGTCAATTAAATGGCTGCACAATCATGTCAGATACAGATGAATTTTTTGCTCTATAGCTTACAGCTAATGAAATATGATGACCATTCAAATGTAATCCAATTGAAGTGATGCAACACTCAAATGGAGTAATTGTACATGTAGGTAACATTTTTTGTGTCGGATTGCAACTACATTACAGAAATGGTACCATTAAGCCAATATGTATATCATAGTCAAAGAAAGGAGAAAAAAAAAAAAATCAGTTATTGACAATCATACTACAATGTCAGTATCATTTTGAGAGAGACCCTACAGTAATACTGAGAGCTGGGATACATGCCAATGACTCCAATCTATTAGTTTTATCCTATGGGGGAAGCACAACACTATTACGGAAGAAAGTAGTGGTTGTAGTACAGTATGAATCTCTGGTGCACTTTGAAGAAACAGAAGACAACATTTGCATTTTCATTATGCTAGTATTCAATACCGTTCATTAGTTTGCAATGTGAGAAAAATCAATGTAGCAGCTACATGATTTGCGTGATATAGGATGAAGCTTTAAAATAATGGAATAAAAACTGCTATCAGCCTTTTAGGTTAGTTGTAGAGGATAAGTATATGAAATTGGAATACTTATTTCTTTTAACTTTTGGTTTATACATGTACCACTGACTGCTGCTTGTTCAGGGAAACAGGGAAATAGTAACTTTACCCTCCTGCAGTCATCCTCCCCCATAATACCTTCCTTACCTTCCTTTTTGGAAACTACTGATCTGGATAAAAACTTTAGCACTTCAGTCCCCAGTATTAGATTAATCTGAAACCTGTCCAAACTATTTGGATGTAGGTTTGCAAAATTTGGCTAGAAAGGCTTGGAAAAAAAAAATAATGCCCATTAAAATCTTAAGCGTTTCCCAATTTTACTGAAAAGCTTGGACATACTACAAAAAGAGAGACATGTTTTCAATCAATTTGTTCCAGTCAAAAGGCAGCAGCAGAAAGCTAATAAACTGACAGTTTAATAAACTTTATGAAAATCCAAGAACTGAAGAGTATTTTCCCCGTTCAAAGCTAATGATACTTTGACACTGTGTGACTTATCGCTACTAAGCACTCTTCCAGTCTCACTCAAACCACCTCTGACAATCCTGCTGCCACAACTGAGAAGACAAACAATACTGAAACAGACTGGACGCCTCCCACCAGATGGACTACTATATCAACTGTTTCAGGAAAAAAGCTCACAGTAATATTCTCAACAGAAGCCAGGACCACAACAAGCTTTCTCCCTCAGAGAGAAAAGCTAGACAGCCCCTAAGATCCAACACTGAAATAGCAAATCAAACCACTGAACAAAGGTGGAACTATAGCCATCCTCAACCGTCAAGACAACAGACAACTCACTGACACTAAATATTATAATGAACTTGGGGAGGACCAGAATTATACCAGAATTTGCTCTGGAACTGGAAAAATATAATCAAATCCTTCCCACACCAGCTTCAGGAAAAACTACTTCCACTTATCCCCCAGTCTCCCACCTACCCCAGGAAATTTCTATGTTTCCAAAGATTCACAAGTAAGATTACAATTGATAGTGGGAACTTGAATGGTTACCAACTGATCAGGTTATAGCCATGACTAGGGTTTTTATCATAAATATTTGGCTAGGAGGTTTGGACTGCTTTCTTTAGATATGAACTTCATAATTGTCAACTATTCCGTAGTTGCCCTTTCCACATGTAGTCATCTCTGTAAACAATTCAGAAACTCAAAGCACCAAAGATAGCTCAGAGATAAACTGATTTAATTAATTTACAAAACATTCTAGAGTAGAAGAACAGCTTTTACCATAAATGCTTATTTTACAAAAAAATGCAAGAAGCTGCCAATGAAATAGCACTGAATTTAAGTTTAGATGTAAATTTTCTCTACAGTATAGTATGGGGTCAAAATTAATGTTTTTGGTTATTTTTTTAATGTTTCAGTGAAGTTGTGTAGTTGCCCATCATAGACTATATTTACAGAAGACAAAAATAGAATAAATTATCACTATGTATCATTTCAGGTACTTATATTTTGAAGACTAAAAGTCTACTAAACATTTTCAAGTAAACTTAGTCTGATACTCACAAAACACGGAGGTTCTTCAGCCCAGAAAAGTCTGTCTTAGCAATTCTTGTGATATTATTTTTTTCTAAATCACTGCAAATAGAAATAAACAGAAAATCTGTTATTAAGGTATTCGAGTAGATATCAAAAATGCAGTTAAGACAAAGTAAACTGTAAAATTAGAAACTTGTTTATCATCTCCCCAAGCTGGACAAACTATATTTTCAGTTAAAATCTGAATAGGTAAATAATGAATCAAATGCATTTTGGTCTTGCCCCGCTTCTCCCTTATATCAGGTGCTTTTTCCCTTCATTTTTGGAGATGGGAATACAATGAGATTTGAGCTCTTAACCCTTACGGTTGGGATTTCTAAGGAGACCCAAGTGGTTTTAAGAATAGTCAGTCACTATACTACAATTGAACTAAATGCCTGGGTACTCCAGACAGCTCTAGTAGTGTGCTGCACCTCCTCAACAAGCAGTAGCAAAAGTAGGGGTGGGCTACCATGGAACCAGCCCAGGTATGAAATCACAGGAGGTGCCAAAATGGCAGCCTCCAGGGAATCACAGTAACTGCTACTCTTGTGCAAGGAGGCGAGTGCCCACACTTCACACGTGCCCACACCCCGCAGCCTATCCAGAGCACTAAATTCCCTAGTTACACATTTGTCAGCAAGAACAGCCCTGCACATCCATTAAACACCAACCTTACTCTAGTTCATGACAAAACAATATACTGCACAGGCAATAAAAAATAAGCACTTCTAAGTACAATACTAATTAAGAAAGTTATGCTGGGACTAGCAGAATGGAATGGAAACATTAGGTTCAAATTTGATTAGAGAAATCTGTTGTCTACTCATGCATGAGAAGCAATCTTGCCAAGCAAAGCCATCACTTAGGTATCCCTGGACTCTTCAGCTATGGCAACTTCAGCTCATCTCTTTGCAGATGACAAAACAGCAGATGACTTGAAGATCCTGCCATCAGACTGTGGATGGGCTTGCTCTGGAAAGTCTCATACTTTGTCTGTTCCTCCAACCCCATTACTAAGTTCTTTGCCAGACAGTTCCTGTGTCCTCAAATCACATCCCAATGTTTTAGACCCTAAATACCTGCAAGAATCAAGGATCTCTCTATGGCAGACAAATGAGAAGTTGTTGCCTCTAACCTTCCATTTCAGCCTCAAAGGCTATTCTCAGCAAGTCACATCCCTTTCTGTTCAAGCAACATGGATCTAGCAATGGGATAATATGGGGAACCTGGTAAAAATGCACCTTGGAAGTGCTTTTCCTCTAATTAATTCTGAATGTCAAGGAGAAACAATTAATCTTTTACATGAGAAGGCATCCTTTTCTTGGGATACAATTTCTTCTCTTTACTTCAGTAACAAAGTTCAAGTCTATACAAAAAGTCCTACTCTACAAAATTAAGTCAAGATAGTCATTTTTAAAACATGTTGCAACTTTAAACAATAAATGATGTTTTATTAATTCTACCCTCTTATCTTTAAAGTTTGTATTTTCAAGCATTATTATGGCACACCAAGGGCTATAAGAAATAGCTCAAAATTCACAAAATTTGAGGCTCCAGAAGGTCAGATTTTAAAATGTGAAAACAAAGCACCAGTCTGCAACATTAAGAAACCTAATATTTCATTGGAAAAATAGTTTGACTTAACTTTAACTACAGAGATGCAAGTCAGTGTGAAGGTGGTAATTGGGAATGTCCTAATAGCAATTATTTCCTGACCATTATTCATAGAAAAGTAAAGCTAGAAGAGTCCCCAATAGATCATCTAGTCCAACTGGGGATCAAACCTGTGACCTTGGTGTTATTAACACCATGCTACTAAAAGACAAACACAGTACAACTTCACGACCAGGGATCCGGGTTTTCTGTTCACCACAGAAAAATGCAGATTTTCTCATTTTAAGCAGAAAAATGTGGATTTTTCCTTTAAAGGAGAAAAAGCATGGGAAATGGTGGGTTTCCTTACAGGCTGGCTGAGTTCCAGCCTGCAAGAGGCTGGGGGGTGTAGGAGAAGGGTAATCAGGCAGGGGGCACCATTTATAAGTGCATGCAGACACATGCATGTGGCAGCCAGGCAGCATGGACAGCAGCTCCCCACTGGTAAAACTGGAGGGGTGGGTAATTGAGGCCCCCAGTGAGACAGCTGGGCAGGACTGGAGCTGGGGGCATTACCCAGCCAGGGTGGCACATGGGGGTCCAAGGCCAGAATGCATAGCTGCTGAGCCTGGCTGGAGAGTGGAATGGAGAGAGTGCATAGAGACAGCACAGCTGGACCCAGGTCCTGCTAAACAGAGGGGGCAGGAAGGATTAGGAGTAAAGTTCATTAGAAGAGGTGTTTACTATAATACAGCTTGTCCTTTTGCTGCTTTATAATAAAAATTGGTTTATCCTGTTGGATTTGTTCAGAGTAGGCATTTGCTATAAATTGGGGTTCATTATAATGAAGTTGTACTGTATATTCACAACCCAGGACCAACATTTCAGTGTGTATGTAGTAGCACTGTGTTCACAACATGAAAAATTAAGTGTTGGTGTTGAGAAAGTTCTAATGATCTACCTCACTGAAAATATCTCTTGAAAGTTATTCACATGGCATTTGCAGAGGAAAAGAGAAGCCACTGGCACTGTTCTCAGCAACTTCCTATCCTACGCACAGATGCCACACAAGCCATCTGGTATGGATGCCTGTTATGCTGAACCTTGTTCACCCCACTCTGGGCCTTATTAGTAGCATAAATCTAAAGTTAAGGGAGAGGTAAGTTGCAATGTGTTTCTCAAGTGTGCAGACAGCCTCCTCCATCATATTTCCATTTTATTTTCAAGATAAGGGCATACATTTCTTGTTCTGTGGCCATGAACTGATTTTTATTTAAAACACTCACTAGAATTTCTGCCATAGCAAACTTCTCCGCTTTCTAGTTCAAATCATAATCACTCCCAAAAGACAATTATGTAATGTAAAAGAAATTTTGGGTTTTATTTTTTTTAAGGTTTTACAGAGTGCTTCATGTCCACCAAAAGCAAAGAAAGTTTGTAACAAACTCTACTCTTTCTTTTGCTACTCCAAACCTCACATTGTTTAGATAACTAAGCGACATTGTGATGACACTCAGGAAGGTTATGAACTAACTATGGGTTTTCAGGGATATCAACTAAAAGCAAAGAATGCCTTTAAAAGATTTGACTTTTAACAACTCACTTTTAGTACATTTTTTACATTTGAGCTCTCTATGCATCATTGTAAAATACAATATTTTTAAAAAGACTGATTAAAAGGTTTACCATCAACACTAAAAGCCTTAAACAAGGAATGCACTTTGGAATTAGACCCACATACTACCTGACCTACCAAAAATTACATCATCCTTTTGCTGGAGATCTTTATTGTGAATGCTAAATATCAGGAATCATATCCATGAAGCACATGAAACAGATTACTGAAGACAAATGAAAGATCTACTGCTATTTAAAAAAAAAAAAAAATCTTTAAAAACAGGATGTTGGTTATTTAAAAGTATTGTACTAGGTGACCCATATAATACAATCTATTTATTTCTAACCTGAAACGATATTCCTTGGTAATCGGAGAAAGAGATGCACTGAAATTCTCAAATTGTGCTGGCTCCAGTATCAAGAATCAAAGTACTCTACTGCCAAACTGAAAAACATCATCTAAAACACAGACATGGTACTTTCAAATAAAGAATCCATACCTTCCTGCTCCAAAAGTAGGTTTTTTTGTTTGTTTGTTTGCTTTTACAGCAAAGGTTGGGGATATGAATGCATTGCATCAGTTGCCTTCAGCAACATTTCATTTTTAGTTTTTACTATGGTTTTAGGGTTTGTTTTTTACAGCAAAGCTCTATAGGAAGACGAGCTTCAGGTTGCAGATTCAAATTTCAGCTAAATCTTTCTTTTTCAAGATATAGCTTGAAAGAAAGTAGAATAAATTTAGGCTGCTTTCAAATCCTTCTTTTCAAAGCTATAGTACTTTTCTCTTATTATCCAGCAACAGTTTATTCTCTTCTCCAACCTCAATCTCCTCTCCTTTACACACTGATCTCAGTCCATTACCAACTGCAGAAGAACTCTACATCCAGGTTCAACTTTTCTGGTGGAGAAATAACAGATTAAAACCCCATCTTCCAAAGCAGTGATTCTCAAACAGAGTTGCCATAACACCCTGGGGTGCCATGAAACCCTTCTGGAGGTGCTGCAGTGCAGATCCCACCACCCCAGCCAGGTAAAAGTGTCCCTTGTGCCTCATGGACAGCCAGACTGGGACAGGCTGTGGAATGCACATGTTCCTGCCTCCAACAGGGTTATGCAATAAGGAAGGAGCACCGATTCTTGCCTCAGCCTTTCCTAGTCCACCACACACATACCCTCACTTCTCTGTGAAACAGATGGATGGGACAGTTATACCTGTCCCGCATGTCTGTTTTCTGAAAGACACGGTGTAAGGTTGGACTGGGAATGGAAGGTACCTACTCCCGTCTGCTTTAGAAAACCTTACTGGATGCAAAAGCACACATTCATGTCCCAACCCTTCCTGGTCTGGCTGTACACAAGGTGCGTGGGGCACTTTCATCTGGTGAGAAAGTGCCCCACTTGAGAACTAGTGTATTTGACCTAGGGCATTCAGAAATAAAATTACTCCAACCACAAGAGTAGGTGAAAGTGCTGGCATGCTGGCCAACACTGAATATATTTGGAACATAAAGTAAAGCTATGAAGTAGATGCTATCAGTAGATTCAACATAAAAAATTCAGTTGGATTCTAATGTGCACATCCAATACATTCATATCTCACAAGGACCGCTGAGGTAAGCTGACCAGCACAACACTGGTTCTCAAGGGTACTGCCAAATTCAAATGAAGTTGTGGGGAGTGCTCTGAATCTAAAAAAGTTGAGAACCAATGTTCTAGATGAACCTTCCATTTTCTGCCATAGGCCAATGAGGACCTGGCTCTCCACCACAAATAAACAGTAAGACCTTTTCCACCAATTGTCTCGTTAGTCAATTAAACTTTGTTACTTCAAGTCACTATTCTGCTTC